TTTAAATATAAGACTATAAGTGTCAAGACTAAATTTGAATACAAAAAGAGCGTTGTATATTTGGTTGTGCCTTACAATTGTGTCAATCAGATTTGTTCTGCTGTAAGATCTAACCCTTTGAAAAGACATATTTAAGTCCTTTGTAATAATTCTTCTGTTTGAAACTAGACAACTAGATAAAATATATAAACAAAATATATAAACTCACTCAAGTAAATCACACAATTTGTTGACAACGTAATTTTCGTATACAAATTTGTCACATTATTTATAACAATATTAATGTGACATTACATTTCTTTTTGTTCCAGGTGCAGTGAAACATAAAGACGATTTATGTTGTTGGTTGTTTAGACAAGCCGGTAAAGTCTTGGCAAGACATATAATTTCATTAGGACCAAAAATTGATGAGGTAGACTGCACAATTATTGTTCTGATGACATCATTTGCCTAACTTATTTTCCCTGATGACATCATTTACCTAACTTATTTTCCCTGATGACATTATTTGCCTAACTTGATTTTTCTGGTGTAATTGTTTTTGCCTAACTTGATTTCTCTGATGTCATTGTTTTTGCCTAACTTGATTTCTCTGATGTCATTGTTTTTGCCTAACTTGATTTCCCTGATGTCATTGTTTTTGCCTAACTTGATTTCGCTGATGTCATTGTTTTTGCCTAACTTGATTTCGCTGATGTCATTGTTTTTGCCTAACTTGATTTCTATTATGTATCGGGTAATTGCCTAATACTGACTAATGTCTGTTCTGTAATTCTGTAGTGTTTATTAAAGGCTGATGGTGGTCTTCAAATTGTTTGTGTTGGATCAGTTTGGAAAAGTTGGGATCTTCTAAAAGAAGGTAAGATATCTTCTTTGACAGACATAGAATATTTATTTTATGGGAATAAAAAAATACCACGTATAAATGCTATGTTTTCATTTATTTTTGAGTGTGGCACAGAACAATGAATGTTTCTAACAAGCTACTAACTAATTTGATGTTTGGTTTATCGAGAACACATAAAATTCTGCATGGGAAATTAAAATTGTTATAAAAATCCCCCAAAACAGAATACATCCCTATATAAAATACAAACAAGAAAACAAAAGTGAACACTATCAAATATATCTATGAATTGATGTGTTGCTGTCTTGTATCAGTATTTAGTTTCATCAATTTAGCAAGTGCAATGTTCATATTATTATTTTTGTACAGCCGTTCATTTTGTAATAGGATGATTGGTTATAATAGATGCATGCTTGACTTAACATTTAGCTAACATT